CCACTTCTGATCATTGGACTGGAAGCAGGAAAAGAGCTACAGTGGCCAAATGGAATAGAAGGGACCAGGAAAACCTATTCCCAACATTACCTGAAACTAAGGGAGTTTGGTATGGCCTCATGGAGCAGATTGCGTATTCAAATTCTTAACCTCACATTCTAGTACTATCCCTACTAATGAGGAGGGTCTATAGTTCTACCAAGCATCTATTGCTTATCTGATAAACTATCAGTGCCTTACAAGCTACATACAGGTTGCAGCATTCAGAAATCTATTATTTGAATACTTGGAAGAAAGTGTACCCAAGCTCTGTTACGAAATACATGATCTATATTTTTAATCTTTTAAGATGAAACTAGCTACACAGGCTAAAGAGAATGTCCCATTGAACAAAATTGCCATTTCTGGATCAACATGCACAGGATTACATGTAAACCTGCTTACTTTGATGCCAGGCAAGAGGCTGTAGGCATTTCATGAAAGAAAAGGTCTTAATGCCTTCATTACTTACAATGAGCCTTGCCCATATCAAATATGGCGAATGTACATCAAGCTTAGCCACAAGCACACTGTATCGACAAATTGGTCATTTGTCTGATACCTATATATTTTGAAATCTTGGGCAGCAGAAGCTAAGGAGTAGATCAGACTCTGATACTTCACACTTCACCTAGGTAAGCTTCCCATGGCAAATCTACACATGGGCAGTCCAGCCCGAAACCAAACATAGCTTATAGGTGCATTTGTATCACTGACATCTGTTCAGTTGATTTCTTAACATTTGATGTAGGAAGTAACCCAGTAAAACATGTGAAATCTGCATCTACTCAAAGGGGATTTCTGTCTGGGTGAATCATCTGCAATGTCTCCCTTATATCATACATGCAAGTCATAACTTGAAGTTACAGTCAATGTATAATGTATGTTGTGAGCCAAACTTTGTAGGCTAGGCCAGTGCATGCTTGCATTGTCTTGCATTGAATATTCCATACACACGTACAAATACACACACACCTTTCTGCAGGTATTTCACAGCACTGGCCTCCAAGACATGCTAACGCAGTACTGTAAGCCTCCCCGGTGGACTTAGGGGTACAAGAAACATAGTAGGATACTATAGAATACCCAGAGCTGTGTGGTATTCTAGTTCTTCCTTGACTCCTTTTTCAATCAGGCCCATTTTTGCCACAATCCAGCCAGATCCTGGGGTTTATTTATATTTCTTTTATCATTTCAGTTTTGCAAATAGGCTTAATTAAAACATGTACAATAAAAGTGCATGGGAGGAAGAAGACATCAAATATTGCCTTCATACTTTTGGTCTGAAGGAAGTTAATAACACTTAAGAGAAGCAAGTTCCTGGTCTACCACCTCATTGAGAACAAGTCCGCTACGTGTTTTGGATCACTGTATAAATGCCCAATTTCATGGCCTCCCAACGTTGTCTTTGCAGGGAAAGGGAGTCCCAGTGCCGAGATCCTGTGATCTTGGAGCTGGGACTCTGCAGTCCCTGCCCCTCCCTCCTTGCAGGAAGAACTGCACGGACTGCCCCTCCTGAGGTCATAAACACGCCTTGGAGGAAAATAAAGGGAGTGTGTTGAAGGATGAGAAGGGAAGGAAATAGGTGCCAGAGATTTAGGACACTTCCTGGCAGCACAGCTGTCTCCTCCCCTCCCCTCCTTGGTGCTAGCAATTGGAAAACTAGCCATACATCAGCATGTGAGGTGCAGTGGCAGTGGAGATTGGTGCTGCACCTGCTCTGGTGTGTAGGATGCACATGCGCCTCTGAGTTTGGAGGCTGATGAGCGCTGAGTATGGCAATGATGGGATTGTGCCCTAAATCATTTCATATTATGCCTTGTATTTACATAAAGCATCACTGCATATAATCTCAACATTCATCTAATAAATCCAAATAGTCATGTTTTCTTATCTTTCTCCTGGTTATATAAAAAAAAAAGAACTGTTCTTCTGACTTCTTTCAAGATCTTTAACATTTTGTAAATAGCTGTATTTAAACCCTTTTTTTTAAAAAAGCATTGAACATTTATCTACCATCTACCTATTTATCATCTATCTAGCTAGCTATTATCTACCTACTTACCTATGTCAATTCCCAAAATTTCACCTTATTCTTTAGCATGGCTAGTATTTGTATGCATACAATGAAATCCATGGTAGGAAACTAAGGTGATATAATTAGGTTTGAGTTGAAAATGTGACAGGATGAAACTTCCCTTTCCTTTTTGTTTAGTCCATTCACTTAGCTCACCTCACCCACCACTATGCTTTGCCTGTTCTTTAAATTGTCCTAATTCTGCCTCCCATAGGATCATTTTGGTGTCTATTTCATGCCTGAACATTGCAGTTGTACACTGCTACAGACTACAAAAGGGGAATACCACTACTGAATTCTACTCTCCTTCGCTGAAAACAAAACAACACAAATGAAAGAAAGGTTCCCTGTATATAGGAACATAGTATATCGGGGTGAAAAGTTCTAGATAATCCATTTGCCTTCTGTACCTGTTTTCTGTCTTTAATGTAATGGAGCATTCAGAATTGCTTGTGGCAGCATAAAGCATTTTATCACATCAGCATCTTATCACTTCATTCTGCTGCATATATAAACCAAGTTTAAAGAGAATTCCAGCATGGGACTATGCAAATATGGGCTGGCTGGCTGGCTGACTGAAACATGGCTTGGAAAGAGGGAAGCCTGCCTTTTCTGCAAAAGGATTCCCATGGGCGTCTTTTACTTAGCATGCTCCAGACAAGGTTTTTATTCTGCAATCGCTCTACTTCAAATATGGTATTTTATGTGAGGTACCAGATGTTATCCTTTCCCATTTGTATCCCTTCCTGTGTTTTCCCTTCCCTTCTTTTTTCATTCTGCCAAATACTTGTTAAAGAGAAAAATACTCAGTACGTGCACGGTTGTGTTTCAATTGGTAGCACTAGGCGCCCACTTTCTGGAAGCACCAGATTTATGCCCTACTAGGCCAGGGTGACCTTTCAAGCCTAGGATTAAATTCAGTGGCAGGTGGGGCTGAAGGCAAAAGAGGTGGGACTGAAACAAAGGCGATTGGGCCAAACTACCAAAAGCACCAGCATCTTTTTGCTGAAAGCTCTTATTGCTAGTAACCTGGAGTGGGTAAAGAATTGCACAAAAGATGGGAAACCATCTTAAAATACCATAAAATAATCAGTACTTGGAGAAAATGATTGTAGCTGGAATGGGGAGCATGATCAACTTGGGTACCCGAGGGGGCTTCCCTGGGGTTTCCAGAAGATCGGGAAGATCTGGCCCTCAGGCTGAAGTCCTACAGCCTTGCTGTGAGTGAATTCAATTATATGGAGTGCAGAAAGATGCTACATTTGGAAACAATACTGTGGTGGAAGATGAACCTGCACTAATGCAAGGGAAAAGGGGCAGATGCACAAATAAGTATGATTCCCAATCTGTTTAGAAGAGCATGTTTCCCCTTATCAAGGGAAATTGAATGCTTCCTAATAAAAACTGCTTTTGACAATATTTATTTTCCAGCACACAATGATTATTTAGGTGGCTGGAGGTGAACAGTTGTCCTGCGGTGTTAAAAAAAAAATCAAGAACCTGTTTCATTTCAGGCTAAGGGTTCCTTTTTTTATTCTTTATTTTTGCCCTGGGCTATAGTCTGGGATGCAGGGTTTTTCCTATGGTCTAATCCTGAACAGAAGTCTGAATAGTTCATATTTCACAAAATAGCCAGACAGGAATAGTTCATCCCCACCAAAATGTCCAGCTGAGGCTGGATAGGGTTGTCTGTACGTTTCTGTGCAAGACTGAGCCATTGCAAGAGTTTGGCTGGATTTGGCTTGGCTGCCCCCATGTCCATAATGGTTGAGCATCTGTTTCTTAAAGATTTTAGCCATCTCAGACAATGGCAATATGAAAGCAGCTGTTGCATACTAGTTTGCTCCTAGCCCAAGACTTCAGAGTCCAAGAACATTTACGCAACCTCCTCTGGAGACAGTGAAATTGGCCCATGGAAAGCTCAGTCTCAGGGAGGTGGAAACTTGTTGGGGTTTTTTATTGCCAAATATTTTCCCTGAACCATTCACACTGGAGCATTGCTTTCCAAGGACAAGAGTTTGGAATCCTCTGAAGACTTGGGTTTGGGGCCCTGGTGCATGACAGAATATCGGGGCAAATCCTTCCCAGGGCCCCACCAGCAGGAACCCATTTAGGGTGAAAGGATCACATTAGTGTGCAGAGAGCCTATTGTATCACCAGGCATTCACAACATATAGGGATTCCCTTCATATATACCCTGTTTACTGTAAAAAAGTTGCTATTTTATAGAAACATAAGAGATCGTTTAAAAGTTCTGTTGTTATCACATATAAACCACGAGTTCATGATAAAGAAAAATGAGCTGCAATTTGCAGAAATCAAAATGTTTTGCTGTATCGTGTATGTGTGCGTGAACACGCACACAATATAATGCACTGAGCTCAGTGTAGATATAACACTATGCAAAGAGGTCAATGTTCAAATGGTACATACAAAGTCATGTTGTGGACATGATGTTTAAAAGAAATCTGCATTATACATAACATAGATTAAATTTATCAAATAATGATAAATTCTGAAATTCAGTAGAAACAAGTGCACCACACAGGACAAAATTTAAAAAAAGTGCTCAGCTAGTTCATAGAATACAAAAGGTCACCATAGTTATAATTACAGAATGAATAGGAGAAAAACAGAAGTTTAAGACAAATTAATAGCAAAGAAAGTCTGGCATGGTCCTGGAGATGAGAGGCTTTCTTTGCTTATGAAAGAGAGAGCGAGTGAACAACAGAGACCAGGAGAGAGACATACAGCATAAAACAGAAATCAAATCAAAACACGTAGAAGAACAATTTACAGTAACAGATGATAGACAAACACAGAGGTGAGAAAATTTGGCATGTTGCATCACAGGAAGTCATTCACGATTGGCTAACGATGGTACCTGGCTCGGTTGTAGTTCACTGGCTTGCCTGAGAGGAGTAACAGAGGGAGGAGGCACACCTGATGTGGATGCAGACCGACCTAATCTGCAGCTTGCTTTCGGTTCTGCAACAAAAAGGAAATATTATGAGAAAGCAGAATTTGAACCTTAGCTCAGACAGGAAGAGGAGAGCTATTAAGAAAACTTTTCTTTATAATGTCAACTTTTTTCTTTTGCTTTCCATGCTCTGACAGCATGGACTAGACTTTCCTCAACCCTTCAGAAAATGTTTTGGTTTTTCAGATCTGGCTGGAAAAACTCCTTAGTGCACCATCATCACGACATTCAGAATGCTTTGGATGTTGCTAGAATTCTCTCACAAAATGCCTGCCAAGGTGACTAGTCCGAAAACACCTTTTCCCGGAAGGCATACTAATGAGGCTAAAAGAAATGTATTTTCCCTGAGATGTGAACTCCAAAGCAGAAAGGGCAGAGGGTTTGAGTCCCAATCACAAAATGTCATAACCCACATCTGTGCCTCCAACACCTGTTTCATGGAAAGAGTCAAGTGACTTGGCTAAGAAAGCAAGAACAAGGCAGAGCTGAAGTTCATGCTCAAATGCTAACTACATAACATATCTGTTCCTACAAAGCACAACTTAAGACCCATTTCACACAAGGCAGGCTGCTGATGGTCTACTAAGAACTCTTCATTATTATCTAGATTAAAAAAATATAGGAGGGACAGGGAGTATGAAAAGCACCAAGGAAGATGTCCCAGGTGTACAGACTGGACTCCTAAAATCAACATACACAGCATAGTAAGGACTGAAACTTTCAGTCATGCTCAGAGGTTTTCTAACAATTATTTAACTCTGGCAAAGTCTAACTGAAATACCTTTTGTAAACATTTCTTTGCTCTGAGGTGGGGTTCAGGGCAAACTATCATTTATAAATCTAATTGTACTCACTTTCATTGCTTAGCAAGCTCCATCCACTGACATGCTAACCATTCAGACTCATTCAGTAGGCCCCACTTCCATGTTACACACACACACACACACACACACACACACACACACTAAATACAGCAAGACAAGGCTGGATATTTTAACATTCACTGTCACTCAGTTTCATAGTTGAAGAAAAACTCTGAGAATGAACTTTATTTCCATATATACTATCCACATGGTAAATTTAAGTCTTTTCATTATGTTTTGTTCTGTTCTTGATGTTCTGCTTTGTTGTGTAAATGCTAGAATGCCCTACAACTCCCAGCTTGGATGACTGAGGAATGATATGAATTGTAGGATTATTTTTCCTGTCTGTCTGAAGATGCATAAGATGGCATCTCAAAAATTGTCTCTTGATAGCCATACACAAATGTGTTATTGTGAATAGAAACAGTCCATTATCCACAACATGCCATCATCATTGCAGTTAATACAACCTCCTTTAGCACTGTTTAAAAAAAGCCCTATGTACCTGAACGTCTGAGTTGTTTTTCTTCATCTCAACAAAAGAGGAAAATGTCAGCATGTTCAATTGGGCATATGCACCATCATGAAAGATGATCATGTCTTTACCAACCCTTTCATCTGGCATCAAAGAAATAGACTGCAACATACTGAGAGATGGTGTTTGTTCCTCTTTACTTTCCTCGCATTATATTTCCAGTATGAAATGACCACTGAAACTTTCAGTTTTCTAGTCTTAGAAGTTTCCTGTTAATGCCCAGCATCTTAATGTGTTTGTTTCTACAAGTATTGACTACAAAAGTGATTAGTATTATTTATAGGTATCTGTTTTTAAAGTAACTGAGCTGACAAAAACGGCAACTTGGAAATAACAGATCCTGGAGGACTGTGCAGTGTTCTAAGGCTGAAAACTGCAGCATTACATTCAGTGTTGGTTTCCCTATATTGAGAGTGACATGCAGAGTACATAAAAATTATGGAGGAAAGGTAAGATAAAGTGTACATGTATGAAGGCCAAATCCTAAGGTATCAGGCTATGGGTGAAGGTACTAATGTACGCCCCTGACAGAGAGTGCCTGCAGGTTAATGGAAACCTTTGGTTGCTTCCCCAAGGACCTACTGATACAACTAATATATTTTTAATTTATATTATAATGTGAACCACTGCAAGATTTTTTCAATAGCACAAACCTTTTTTTGAAATGCTACAAAACCAAATAAAATATATTGCTACATTTCAAAGCTAGTCAGCATTCTTTAAGCTATTTTTTTAAATCCTGTGACTACAGCTTTAAATGGTCTGCAAGACCATGGAAAATTGTCAAGAAAACTTAGGTATTTTCAATAGCAACTGTATCAGAACTTTACCTTATATCAACAACCCACCAATGGTCACACATCACATCCTAACTCTACCTGATGCCAGGTAAAGATCTAGCTGACAAAAACTATGCTGACAATAGTGCCTTGGATGCATGCCCAGACTAGTTATACAAATCGGCAATGCACTGTAAACTCTTTAAATTTTGTGGCTACTTAAGGAGATCTTATAAATAAAGGAGTCTGGGGTAAAGGAACACTTAATGAAGCATCTTGTTCACATACAATGGAAAAACTTGGTGCATGATACAAAGTATTCAGCCAAAAGCCATCTCACTGGTCCTAAATTTGGCCATTCCAAATGCACAATAAATTATGGCCATCACAGACATCTACAAGTATTTAGCATTATTTAAAATTCATTTGCCCATCTGATATTTCAGATTATAAAAGCAGGTATAAGAGTGCCCCTCACTGGCACCATGGCCCTATTTTCCAAGTGACCTCATACAGATTACGATCTTTATCTTGTCACTCTAAAACTTGAGCAGTGGCAGAATTATGGAGACAGCTGCCCAAGTGCCGTGTAAAACTCTGTTCAGAATGAGGTACTACTAACCCCATAGCCTGGTTAGTGCCAGCAGCCTCTGCACTGGAACTCCTATGAACATTATCCAATCTGGTTCAAAGTTGTTATCAAGGGTGGGGAAGCATCAGCATCAACCTGTTTCTCCCATAAAGCAGAGTCTCCTTGCCTTATCAATAGAGGGAGGCAGCAGGCAGAATCTATTCCTAGCTATTAGTCATGATCACAGGAATTCCCCAAGAGAAAACTGTCTTCTGCCAAACAGAGGACTGTCCTCTGTACTGTAAGGCAACTGGTCACCTTTCAATTGTACAGAATTGACTCTTCAGATGATGCCCTTCACCAGTAATTGGAAAGAGGCTTAATGGAGATAAAGGTAAAGACTCCACAATAATACTAAAATAATTTTGTGTGGCCAAAGACCCAAACTTCTAAGCCAGTTGAGCACTTCCAAATAATTCCAAGATTATATTTCCTGGTCACACATTTGTGCCTCCAGGTCAGCAGCCTGCAGTTGATTGAAGTGTCATGGACACAGGGAGCTAGCGTATGATTCAAGAGACAGGGATGATAAGAAGGCCAATGCAAGGATGGTTCCACCTTGAGAGGGTCCTGTGCAAAATGAGGGTGTTGGAGCTTCTCCTCTGTGCCCTGGGTCTTACCTAATAAAAGCAGCTCTCTGGACAGTACTTCAAGCATTCCTGCGTGACTAAGCCTAGCTGCCATTTCAATTTCCCTGAAGTTCTGTCAGGGGATTTATGGGAAATCAAAATTACACCTAGACCCAGTCACTGAGTTCTTTTCCTAGTTACCCCAAAGTCCAAGGGTGGCTGTGTGTAGCAGCAATAGCAAAACAATCTGAAATCACTGAGGGTCAAACAACTAATAACAGTTGTGACTCTTGATAGCTCGGTTTGGCAGGGAGAGCTGATTAAGGTTCATCTACTGACAAACAGAGGGTGGAAATGAGTGCAGATGATTTCCTCCTGCTACATAAATCAAGATACAATTCTTTAAAAACTTGCATAGGTGAATGAAGCCAAATGTTTCAAGTGTCCTTCCTTTGTCAACATTTGTACCTTATTATTTGAAATGGATAATGCATTAACTTCCTTCCTCTGAGATCCTAAGAACATTTAGTAAGTCATCCACAGTTTCACTTCCAAGGAAAAACACTCTGCCTGGCTGTTAAATGCTTTGGCAAAGTGTCAGGTTTGCAATGTTAAAGAATTAAAAAGAAAACTACACAGAAACAGTAGGATGTGTAACTCCTCTTCCAATGTGGTGTGGTACATCTTTCCAGCAGCAGGTGGCAATGCAAAACATCTCATTCTAGCTGACAGCAACTTTCTGGAAAATGCTCTTTAAAACATTCAGAGTTAAGCTGGATGAAGCCCTCCACTCTGTGGACCCCCTGTGGTTCTTCACTGAAACAGCAGTGGCATGTTTTTGAGGCTGCTGCATGTAAAAATCACTGACAACTACTCCTCCAAGAAGCCCTCTGATGGAAGATGCCAGGAACCACCAGGGAAGCCACATCCCTGAGAAATTATCCAAGGGACAAGAGGATGACACGTAGCTTTGAATTACAATAATCAGCACAGCATTCAAGGTCACCTTAATATTGTCAGACTCAGAGGGGAATTTGCCTACTTTCAAAGAAGCAGAATCCCAGTTATCGTGACATGTACAGGGAGCAATTGAACCTAATTGAAAGGCAGCATACACAGTTTCAGAAGTGGATTGAAAACAGGGGCTCAGGTGAACCAAATGCTATGCTATAGGAATGCGCAGCTGTGCCTCGGAATGGAGAAGGATGTGGAGAGGAACATGGCTGCCTGCCCTCCATTCTCATCCTGGAGACAAGAGGAGCAGCATGAATGCCTGTGACCCACTGTGCAGCATCAGCACCAGCTGGGTCCTGCTGCAGACATCCTGTCATCCATCCACCCAGCGGGAAAGAGGAACTGCATAGAAGCAGTTGGGTTGGCATGCCAGGTGCACTCTGTCACTGCAATTTCCTTTTTCTTTTTGGAGGACCACTTTTTCGAAAACCTGCTTCTTGAACTTCTGTCTAAACTTCCACATTAGGAGTTAAGGACTTCTTGTGTGCACCCCAAAGAAATGTAGCTATCATTTCTATAGGTAGTGGGATGCAGGCTCACAGGGGATGCAGTGCTGGAAACTCTTTATTAGCTGGGATGCTGACATCATGTGCCACCTGCCTCAGAATTCCCTCTTTTCTCTGAACATAGATTGGGAGGGGGATTATTTTCTAGCAGCAGTTACTATTTCCCTTTGCCAAATGCAATATATTCCAAAATCCAAGTTATTTTGCAATGGGTTGGTCTCAAATGGGCAACTCCAGCCATTCACTTTACAAACAACCTGCTTCTGGTACAAATAGAACTACTAGTTTAGTGGATATGCATTTTTGGAGTGTCCCTGGAAATGTGACTGTGGGGACTGTCAGAATGAATGCCTACACTTCAAAATTTACCATCACACACCTGCATTTACGACCTGAAATTTTGGTTCTTTTACATTCCTGAAGCAAGAGACAGTGTTTTCTTTATACAAGGAGAACCACAGCAGCTTGCTGGGCATTGCCTTATGGGAAGGGTAGGCATGGGGCTTATCTGTTACTTGTATGTGCACAGATAATTTTGGAGTGGATGAATCTGTCAATTTATTTCCCCAGGGATTTTGGATTTTTAAGGTCACACTTGCTGTATTTTATCTCTGCATGCATTAGCATTACAAACAATATCCATACAGAAATCATACATTTTTGTACTCATGTGCCCCAAATGCACACATATTCCCAAGTACTTCCCATTCCTCCAAGGTGTTTTTCTGTGCACTTTCCTTCAATTATGCATACGTGCATGCTTCCCCACTTCTGCCGACAAGCTCATCCTAAAGGTTACAAAAATGCAGATTGCAAGATGCAACTCTGTCTTGGTTTATAGACATGAGAAGTCAAAATTGGGTCAATTCTTTAAAAAACAAAACCAACACTCATCCCTATACCACATGATACAAATAACATCAGTAACATCATTAGCTCGGTAAATATCCCATGACAAGGTGTATAGTGGGCTTACTTTCAAACTCCAGGGCACACCTTATCTTATACGTCATGTTTAATTTCAATGTCCCGTTGAAATGCCTCCAAAATTCCTTTTTGCCTTATGCCATTTTGTTCACTAAACGGCGTCTTTAGAAGTCCACTCTTTGGTTTGCATAGGTTTTCTGAATCCTAGCCATTTGTAAAAACAGTAGATAAAAACTATGCTATATTCCCTTGATTCCCACACACATTCATTCACCGTGCCCTCCTTTCCCTGCATAATATCATTTCCTGTTTCAGGGTTTGAAGCAGATAGGTTGACTAGTAATTTTAAATTCTAATCTCTGCACTTCATAATTCCAATCCATTACATTCCAGTACTGGGTGCACTTAAGGCCATTGAAACAAATCTGCCTCAGTGTGTCACACCATCTGATGGATTGTGGTTAAACTGATTTTAATATTTCGGCCTGCATTGTTATCATGCAATTCACAATTACAATTGTTTTTGCTTTGCAATCTGTTTTTGTAACCATCTCAATTTTAGGAATCTAGAGGGTAGGAGAAGAGAAACTTATACACACTCAGCAACAGAACTGATTCACAGTCCAAGAAAGACATTTATCTATTGCTAGATCACTTTCCATTGGTGAGTGTGTGTAAACTTTCAGCCTTCTAATTTAGGTAGAAATCACTTTAGCAAGATGCCTCACCTTACCTATTTTGTCTCTGGTGTCCTGGGAGTAGCATTATATATCAAACAAAAGAAGTTGGTTGAACATAGTAGGTATTATCTTACCTATTTTGCTTCTCTCTTTCTGCAGAGCCAAGGGACTGCTGTGTTCTCATGCCTTGATGTAAGAGAGAGCTCAGAGGAGTTTGAGAACTTGCTGACCTCAGTTCAATTAGACTACCAAATGGAATCTCCCATACACAACATATCATAATTCTGAGAGGAAAGCTCAAAAACATGAACTTCTCCTGCTCAGAAATATGTTCCACTGCATTGTAGAAACTACTGCCTGCTGTCAACTATCAACTGTACACATGAGAGTGAGAGCTGATCATGACTTTCATGGATGAGCAGAGATTTGAACCCCAGTGTTCTCTGCCTAGGTCTGTCAATCTGGCCACTAAACCACACTGGTTCCCATGGACACCCTCCTTATTTTCACCATATGGTCATGGAGGTGGGTGTCTGGTTGCTCATGCCATGAGCCGATCCCACCCCCACCCCCCAAACCAGAGAAAAGGGTCAGCTTACTTCCAATCCAATCTGAATTCTCAAACCCTCCCTCTCCTGGAAACTCCTTGACCTCCTCCTGCCCATTCCTCTCCCTACTTCTCTGGAAACATTTAAGAGGCCAGGGCAGCAACTGTGGAAAATTACCTACAAAACTCTGAAGTAGGATGGAAGGAGATCTGCTTGGGCTTTTTTGTCTTGTGTGCTCACAGTAGGGGAGAATGGTAAATATTTCCCTCTTTCTTAAGTTTCTTCATGTGTCCAAAGCACCACTATTGCTGCTGCTGTACCAGACTGGCAAGTATTTGAAGGGAAGGAGAGTAATGCTGGGGGTTAGGAGGTGGGGTGATAAGTAGGCCAGGAATGGGCCAGAGATGGATTTGTGGGTTTATGGTGCTCACTTCCTCTTGGAGGCAAGCATGATGATGCTGCTGATGACGACACCCCAAAGGTCACTCTGGTCCCAAGGCTGTTCTGTTCTGGTGGCATGGAACAGCATTGGTGCGAACCATGTAGTGTGCTGAGTCAGCCATCAGCCATTTCCATGATCTTATCTGTATTTTTCCCCATGCTTAGATAATCACAGAAATCACAAAGACTTTCTTCATGTAATCAGACAAATGTTCCTCTTTGTGATTGGGTACCAGTGCACAAGAAAGTATGGGGAAACCAAAAGGGCTTGCATCTGTATGATGTGTCTGAAGCCCTCTTCAGGAATTCAAAAAGCAGTAAGCTAAATGCATGAAACTCTTCCTTTCTCCCTTATCACATTTATTGCCTCAATTTATGAAGGATTGCAATCTGAAGCGAAGAGCCTTCTCTGCTTATGAAAAATCTACATTCTATTCACATTCTACAACATTCTACTCCACTGATAAAGGAAACTCTCCTCTTGAAACACTGGCCCTCCACAAGTCAAGGCAACAAACAGAGTGACAGGGAGGGGACGGTTGGAGTGTTCCTTCTCTTCACCTACTGAGTTTAACTCCTTTCTGAATGAGTAAATAGGGGTTGTGTATGTAGCCTGGACTAAATAAAGAATATGGGTCATTATAGCTGCTCGTCCACACTATAGCAAGAGCAGTTTTATTTTTGAAAACTCTCTCTCTCTACACGCACACACACAGAGCGATCTCTTTTTTGCCATCCCAATCCAAAGAGATGGTTTACTGATGACATGGTTAACTGCCAAACCAATTGAGATGAAGTGACTTATGTATGTATAATTCAGGGCTCAATCAACATGTTATAAGCATGCAAGAAACTCAGAACAGACATGTGTACTAAACTCACTATTAAGATACAATGAAAATCTGTCACTGCCTTATCTTAGTCTGAAAGAGTAGCATCAGTAAGTTATAAGAGCTTAGTGAAGACCCCAGCAAGAGTCGGTCCTTCCAGAGTACTAACAGGTCTCAGCTCAGCTACCTTGGGTCTTGTCACGATCAGCAACAAGACAGTTTTGCTTCAGGAACTACAAATCAACTGCAAATCAGGAACATCAGATTTTGGAAAAATAATAAAAGCAAGGATGATATGCTTTGGACTTTGCCATTCTATTAAGCTGTCAGAAGGTAAATGATAATGAATGGAAGGCTCCATTCTTGCCTTAATCTGTGGCATCCAGTATAGGCTATTCTTAAATATTAGGTGTTGTGCTAGATCAGAACAGAACCAGGCAGGTGTTTGGGACTTCAATTTCCAGAAGTTTTTGCCTGCAAATTCAATGGTCAGGAATGCTTGGGGTTGAAGTCTAAGATATGTGCATCTTGAGATCTATTTTCTGCTGAATGCCATGTGAGATGGCATGTGGTCTCGCAAGTCAGTTAGTGGTGTTTTTGTTTTTTATTCTTTATATTTCCACTTACCCGAGCTATTATTTCCTGCCAACATGGTTGGACTAACAGAAGACCTTCCGAGTCTACTTGACACAACTGGGGGTCCTGGTGTCCCATCCCATTCCTGAGCTTTTATTGGCTCTCTGGAGGAAGATGTCCCAAGGTGACCTCCTCTTTCTTTGTTTTCCAGCTTTGGTAGTGGTTCAGTGCTGTGGCTCCGGATCTTCAATTCATCTAATGGTTCTGCAAAATATTCAAAGGTCACAGTCCATTATACAGTGCAAATTGATTACATCTACACACTCTTTTTTTTCTCTTTTCAGTTTAGTGTGCTTTTAATTGAGTGCTACTATAAATGCATGCAATAATCGATACAAAGCCTTAATAAGTGAGATTTTAAACTGACCTTGCTTAAAAAATAGTAATAATTCCACTTTGCATCATCATACTTGGAAACATTCAGAAAATAGGTAGAAGAACTTCAGGTAGATAGGATATTTGTAATATAAGTGACTATACACACATACAGAGATGTGGGGGGGGGGGAGTTTATGTGTATGTTGTCACTGAGAATTATTCCCCAGAGAGAACTTTGATACAAGCTTTTAGAGCAGGTGAAGCATCATAAATATGGACTAAAAAATATGGGGCAAGCATACACAAACCAGGAGATGCTGCCCAACATTCAATCATGGGAGGTATCAACTATTGGAAGAAATAAGCAGTAACACCAGACAGGCATTTAACAACTATTTTGACTCCTGCTGATTGGGTTTTTCAGTAGCATCCTGTTCTTTCTCTCCTTGTTTCCCTCTGCTATTTGCATCGATGTCATGGATGGGAAATAGCACTTAGGTCAAATACAATGCTGACTGATCACAACAGCATAGATAAAAGTCCTCAAAATCTGTTGACTCTAACTAAATTAGACTTAGATTAATGGTCTAAAGCTTGTGGTCTAATAGGTTTAAGTGGTCTTCTGCAATTCTGATTCTTCTGTGCACTGGAACTATATCCTGAAGGCAGTTCTCAGTGGTAACTACAAACCAGAAGAGGTATTTATCATCTCCTGAATTAACACTAGAATGATGGTCTGCTCGTGCTTCTTCCACCCTTCATGTAACTACACTTAGGCTTATTTAATTATTTTATTGTGCTTTTATTTTGTTTCTTTATTATGATATTTTCATTGCATTACTTTATGAATGCCATTTGTTGAATTTATACTGTGTTAGCTGCCCAGATTGCATGTTGCTAATGTTTTAAACAAATCAATCAATCAATCAATCAATCAAATAAATAAAGCAAAAATAAATGTTAAGCAACAGATTGCAACACCGTGGTATGCTATGTTCTTCCCAGTCCTGTCTGCCACTGTGGTGTAGCGACAGGGTGCTGGGCGAGAACACTGGAGCCTCAGGTTCAAACCTCCACCGCCACAGGAAGCTCAGTCCATGACTCTTAGCCTAACCTGCTTCACATGGTTATTGTGTTGATAAAATGTGGAGGAAGTTCATTAGGAAAACGCGGGATAGAAATGTAATGACAGATTGGAACTTGTGATACTGATGGATGGATTATGATATTTTATGATTGCTTCAACTGGAAACAAGAATCGAAGGAAAAGAGCCACAGTCCAGAACCATCGTCTGCCTTGCCTTGCCTTGCCTACATTGAAAGCAGCTGCACCAAGGGGGAAGGAGAAAATTGAGTCAACCAAGCACTGAAAGAGGCAAAGTCTTTCTCTCTGCTGTTTGTCCAGTCTAGCTCATTCTCCTCAATATGCAGTTGGAGTATTTTCCCCCTGTGAGACAAATGGCTGCTTAGGGTACAATCTTTAAGCTGTTGGGTCATGTTGGGAGCTGTAGGCCATTTTCTGTCTAAACCTGCATAGAATTATGCCCTTAGAGAGCCATTTAGATTTTGAAACTATCATGGAGGAAAGGCTTCACCCTCCTCCTCTAGCACCACAGCTTGAAATTACTTCAGAACTGCCTTGAAACACTCCAACACCATAAGAGATCCAATCAGCCCTGGATCTCCCATGGCCTCCTCACATTTGGCCTAGACTGGTATTTTTCTGTATCCTGTTGATGTACAAGAATGTTGTTCTGGCATGTATGTTCCCAGAACCTGCCTTGTTCCTACACACATGACCACATTTTCTTGGCAAAGGCTATATAGTCCTGACACTATGCTGCCAAATCAGAAAATGTTTACTGTAGAAAGGAAGACTGAACCTGAAATAAGTGGCTTTTCATGATTTAGTCAATGGAGGGGCAAGTATGCATTTGGCTGCCCACTTAAAAATCTGCAAGCAAATGTGAATGTGGCCTTACAGAACACAACAAAAAAGCTCTCAAGTGGAAGCTAAAATGAGATGAACTGAGTTTTGGGGTGGAACATGGACAGTTTCAATTAGCTTGAGCTTCACTGATTTGCTGATGGTTAATCCCTCCTCTGAGAAAGCTGATTGGGAAGCAAGTTGTTTGTAGATCTCAGAGTATGTACTGATGCGAATCTGGCTATCACCCAGGTGGCCATTATTTCCACCCAGAATTCCAAGTGGTTTGGGCCACAAATCCAGAACATTGACCAATAGTCCCATGGGACAGATTGGGTAAAATGTTGCACGCATAAAAGAAATAATCAGTAGCATGAACCATTTCTGTTCATTCTTTCTTCTAGCCATTCTTATGCAGAAAAGCATTTTTCAGCTGATAGGGCAGTTAACATATTTACATGGCAAGCTTCATTTTGGAAGTTATCTAGAAACTAATAATGCCAAAAGAAATGAAACAGTCTGGATCAGTCTGCTATCTCTGTCAGTCTATTCTTTACTCAGGGAACATTGTTATTGGATGATATGTATCAGGAACACAAAAACACAACCGTAAAAACATTGCTATTTTCCAAGCTCTATAAGAAGCAGAATAGATGTGGGCAGGAGTTGGGGACATAAACCAAGGGAAATTACATTTTCTGAAAACGTCATTAAGGAAGCCTCTATTATCTATATGTGTAGTGGAGTACTTTTTTCCTCTGATTTAATATTCTTTGATGAATATGAAAGAAGAGCTGTGTGCCATGCTTTGATATCTCCAGCATCATCTGAATCAAAGACTGGTTTCTTTTCTATGGTCTAATTATTTTCACCTCTACAGTGCGTGTATATCAGCACACAGAAAGTTTTGCAAGTAATAATAAAAGTTTCAGCTCAAATGGAGCAGGTACACTAGTAGACAGGATATCAGGTTGAGCCTTGTCTTCAGATGCCCAGATCCAAAGGCTGAAAATTCATTTTCATTCCCTCCACTAAATGGTATATCAAAATTTTCCTCGTTATGGAGGGAATCTGGGAGGGGGCAGAGGGAGGACGCACCATCACACCATTACCACTGTGTTGATAGCCTAGTTGCCATTTTGCATTCTCCAATTGTTCCAGGCCTAGCCTTGTTCCAGGATATGGGCAGGGTACACACAATAAGTTAAACCATGTTGGGTTCTGAGCCATGGTTGTTTCTGAATGGTCTGTCATGTTCTCTGAACCGAGCCAGAGAGGACTGAGTGTGGTTGACAAGCAGGACTAGCCACTCTGAAACAACCATGGCTCACAAATCATTGGTGCCTATCATGTGGCATGAACTTAGCCATGGGTGTGTGTGTACCTATAGGCAGGGATGTGGCATATAACACAAAAACTTGGTGAATATTCTGAAAAAAAATCTCCAAATTGGTCTGCCTTTTTCTCCCTGGGATGGTTGTGCAGAGGACAGGAAAGAACAAAATTGCAGGAAAGTTCTCATTAAAAAAAAAAGACTTCTAAGACATTTTGAGTCAGCTGTACAAAACAGAAGCAAGCTGATAAATTAGAGTCGGGAAAGCACTTTAGCTAAAACTCTATCATTCAAATGAATGTATTCTACCTAGTCAGTCTGGCACAAACATCTTCAGCACATATTAATTCCAGCGCCTGGCTGCTATAATGCTGAATGACAAACAGCCGAATCTCTTTTAAGGAGCCAAACAAGACCTAATCAGAGGAACTGTAAATGAGGGCAACTCTCAGCTAGTCTTCTCTAAGTAATCCAAAATGTATCAGATAATGAGGCATGTATTATTCATTCATCTTCCCACCATGTCTGTTATAAATCTAAATAAATCATAAATCATCTCAGCAGAAGACTTTTTATTTAGGGTTACAATGAGGGCCAGTTTTTCCCAAGTACAAGAATAAAGGCACTTTCAAGCAGCACTGCAGCAAAACAAGGTCACAGTGACCCAGACAGCAGCCTCACGTGCTGAACAGCTCTTGCATCTTACAAATAGCAAACTGGTGCATTCACAAGCTGTTAGTTGAATGGTTCCTGAGCAGGCCCCTGGGAGTTGATTTGTACAATCAGCTGGTAATGCCTGCTTCATGGATGTTGGTATGGAAAACCAGTCTTGCAAGTGCACTCTTGCATACAGTTCATGGTTCATTGTGCCATGGCTTTGGGAACTTGCCATGTGTCAGATCATTTCATCTTCCTCATTAACATTTTTGATGCATTCACACATAGTGACTTCCCATGCACACTATAGTTACACGTGTCCCCATAGTTTTATTATGGACAGATTTTTGAAAATAGAAAAGGCTTTGACTGTCAAGGCTGAAGTATACTTGGGGCCATTCTCAGGCCTTATTGGGGTGGGGGGGTACCACTAGTACAGAATAAAGTAACCTGACTTATGATGCACATTGGTTACCTGGAGCCCACAGGGATTCTGGCAAAACATGTTCTTCTGTGACTTAGATATAAGCTTTGTGTATGTGTTTTGGTGGCGGGGGATGTAATTTCAAACAAGTTCTTTAAAAGATCAAGATAAGAATGTTCTTTTTACCCCAGAATTCAACCCACCTCCCGAGCCTGAGGGTCACCACCTCTCATACCCCTCCATCCCCCAATTCCCTAAACTTTGTCATTTAAACTCCATTTACTGGCTGACAGAAGTGGAACTCTATCCATGCAGCAAGGGAATAAGAAGGTCCTTGTGTTCCTTCTCTAGTACAGTTTTCCATGCCCTGATGGCTCTTAGGAAAAGTGATTTTTCCCAGGTGGTTACAGGCTTCATGATGCTACTGTGTTTTGCAAAAGTTTGCCCATCTTTCTTAGAACTATCATTTTTCTCTGATTGACCTAGCAGGACTAAGGCACTTCCAGGAGTCAACATGGACTATTGTGAAGGGAAATGATAGAAAT